TTATCATTGGTCGTTGTATCAGTTACACACAGAACAGAGTTTCAGTTCTCCTTTCATGCGGGTATTTTTCTACATTCTTAAATTCTTCCTTGACTTTTCCCTACAAGCTTCAGACTCATTCTCAATAACCTGCTGGAAATCTACACCTGAATATTCTACAGGCACTTTATAATCAGCATGTCTAATCTGCAGTATAGCATTCTTTCCTCAGACTTGCTCCTCCTTAACTGGGGGAAAGAAACCACACCAAAAATTCTATAAATGGTTCCACCATCTACCCAGACTCCTAAGGGAAATAGTTGGGCCCTGTCCAACTCAGATATATTATCTGTAGTTGCTAGCATGATGTAAAATGTGATTTTGATCATATCATTGATCTTGAAAGCTTGCCATGCTGCCTCTTTGTGACAGGAGAAGGAGAAAGTTAGGATAAAGCCTGATTTCCATTCTGTGGAGCCCATCAGGTCTCTTCAGTGTGTTCTCTGCCAGCCTACCTCCCCACCTCACATCCTTTCCCTGTCAGCCTCAAACACTATGCTCCAGCATGTAGAGTTCCCCATAATATTCTTTCAAATATGGTGTCTTTGCTTCTTCTGCTCTCTCGTCTGCCTGGAATGCAGTGTCTGTAGAGTGTGTGGGTCACTAGCTCTCTGGGCAGTGGGACTCCCTATTCCTCATGGAAGCTACAGTTAATTGGCACCTTTCCCCACTTCTCTGGCCTCAGCGTTATTAAGGAGTATTCCTTGCCTGAAGTATGGTTTTGGAGAGCCAGTGCTGGGTAAATGCTGGTGTTGGTCCTGAATGAAATAGAGGAGGGAGTAGGTGTTTCACAGCTCTTCAGTTATTTCTGTTAGGCCATTTCTTTTCTTAATCCCTTCTACCTATAGTTTTATTATCTTTCAGGGGGTCTTCTGGAAAAATGTATCTTTTGGGGGAGATTCTTTTATTTGTCTACATGAAGTTGTGTGTTCTTCGGCCCTGTTGGGTTTTGCCATCCATTGATCTTAACGTGCTTCATAATCCCCTTGGACTTCCTCACTGATCTGTCTGCTGGGAGCACCTTCTACATTCCCAGGGCTGCTCTGGATTTATTTTCATATTTTGTTTTGCTTATTTCAGTGGGTTTTAGTGTGGGCAGAAAGGTAAACACCAGTGTTTGGTCAGCCATTTTAAAGCAAAGTGTCAGTGCTCTTGGACTGCACATGGTTTCTCCTTTTTTTTGTATTGTAGACATCATGGCAAAGAATATCTTTTAAAGTGAATCTGGTGTACATCTTTAGTCATTTTCTTAGGACACTAGTCTTAAAGTCCCCTTGAGGATCACTGAGGGTGATGATAGATGAGATAATGGGAGTGTGCCACCCCCATGAATGGTGTAGAGGAAACACTGCTGATTCTCTAAAGGAAAGGTTGTCAGTTAAAGATTTATTTTGGCCAATGTGATCTAATGGTTTCTCTATTTTGTTTATTTAAAAAAACCACTTGTGAGATTGAACATTTGAAGAATATATTTATTGGCCATTCGTTTTTCTTTGTATATATTCTTTACATGTTGATCAAGGTCTTTTTTTAAAATACACTTCTGTGGAGTTCACTTTTTAAAATGAAATAAGCCAGTGCTGTCAGATGTAAGATCTGTTGCCCATTTTTAAAGTTTAGATTTATTATGATTTGATTCTTGGTAAATGAAAATCCACTGCTGGTTTTGTGATTATTAATACATACCTTGTAAGGTGGCTGTGAAAATTAAGTGAAACAACAGAGATGAGTGCCCAAGAAGTAACTCGGTACATAATAGGCAGGAGTGTTGGTTTATTTTGTGCATTCTTCCTCCTTTGCCAGATTATTGAAATAACTACAGCACCCCATAACTGAGAGGGAGAGACAAAAATCACATGTATTTACTGAGCCCTTGTTAAATGAAGGGTGCTAGGCCAAATGCCTTGAGGGATACAGAGATGTTTAAGGCTGCTTTGTGCCCAGGGGTAAACATTCGCTTACTATGTGTTTTACCTTTCTAAGCCTTTTTTTAAAAAACATGCTGTTCTGAAAACCTTTCAGTGTTTAAACTGTGTTATTTTATTTGAGCACAGAACACTTTAAAGGTTGGCGTGACACATTTAATCCATTACATCTTTATAAGAATAGTTATTAGTTCCATTTTATAGATAGGGGTCCTGAAGAGTGACTTGCTCAGCTTCTGGCTACGGTAAAAATAGGCTATATTGGAAACGGGGAAGAAAGCTAACCATTGTATTTCCAGCCTCAGTAGGTGCTAAATAAATATTTGTTGAATGAACGAATCATCTATTATTGAATGGTATGTTAAGAACATTCCTAAAGTGCACCTCTACTATACTGTTTTACTCTCCCCCTTTATTTTATGCGCTGACATGGTTAAAGTAACCTTTAAAATTCAGTGGTTGGTAGAGAAGACATTGGGTTGGAAGATAAATGCTACACTGTTTAGTCATAATGGAAAAGGACTTTGACAGGAGATTTTTGTGCTAATACTGATTGTATTTCCCACTTCAATTTTTTGCCCTGGTGCTAATTCTTTGCAAGACCACCTTTCTGGTTCCTGTAACAGCTGCAAATGGCTTTCCAAGTTCAGGGCCAGGGTAAAGCAAAGGTGTGGTGGCAAAGAAAGGAAATACTTTGTAGTTTAAAGCATGGCTGGCTGTTTGTGATTGCTTGTCCTTAGGTTTTGACTTCGTAACCTTGAGGTATTTTACAGGCTTAGATTTTGGTTTGCCTACGTAGGCTGCCATGGCATTACAGTCACCTCGTCAAAAAGCCTCCTTGTTTAATTAATTTAAACAAAACTTTAAGAACAAAGACTATGATGTGTACATTCTGGTTTCATGAATGATTCCCTTATGTATAGTAAAATATGGCAGTGGGTGATTAGTTGATGTATCATGTTAAAATCAAGTTCCAAACACCATTTTCCTTTTTCGAACCAGTCTAACCTTTGTTTGTGATAACTGGATTTTTGTTAATTATTGGTTCAGATTTATATTTTCTTCTTTAGTTCGTTTTCAAATATGCTGACGTATTTCCTATTTATTTCTCCTCCACCAAGGGAGAGATACTCTCTTTCCTTAAATCACTTACCTTGGATTTTCATGGACCTCTTGGACACAGCCATCATTTCTCTCACATGTTATCTTTGTAAGATGTAGCTCTGCAGTGATTTATTGAGGTCATTTTTTTACTTTTTGAGCATCAAGGTCAAAAGAAAAAATACTAATGGAATTTTCATTATTGATAATGAATTTGGTTTTTTAAAATGGTTTGAGGTTAAAAACAATAGCAGTCCAGCACTCGTTGAGGCTATCTTGAAGAGGCAAGTTGTGTACTATTGGGACTTTCAGAAGTACAGGGACTCAAATGAATGTTAGAAGGATGTTTCTGGTGGGAACCCTCTTATTTAATGGATTGACGTCAATAATTGGGAAGTTAACTTTAAGAATTGGTAAAGTTCTATGTAATTAAATAAGAATGCCCATACAACACGAATATTTTGCCATAAAGCTTTTGTTTCTTTACCAGAATTTTGAGGTAGGGCCAAGACAGTGTTTTCTGAGGATGGATCAGCTGACTGAAGTTCAGTGTCATCTTTCCTGTATGAAGCACACTCATAGGCATCCCATCTGTGCAGTAGGTCCAGTTTTGATTTCTTGAAAGTGAAGCAGTAATTTAGACAATTTATGAAACCTAGTGCAGAATTGTAAATTTTAACAGTTTTTTCCCCTTTTTAACATTATCTAACCCGTATCTAATTTGACAGCCACATTTTTAAAGTGACTCATCACCTTTGTTCAATCTTGCTGAAGCATTCAACCTAATTTTCACAGAAACTGCAACTTCCTTTTAATTGCTTGCATCCTCTTTAGCTTTAAACCATGTGATGGCCATTACAAGAGTGACCAATAGTTTTTGGGAAGAAATGCAGCTGACTTTTGGATGCTAAGCATGCAGCTCAATTTAAGGGAGCAGAAGGGTGAAATTGAACTAAACAGTTACCTTTTAGACAAAAACATTTGTCCTATTGGCATTAGCCAGTCTGTTTTACAGAAGTAATGGAGATGTGGTAACTGTTAGGTCTGCTAAGAGATGTGCTGGAGGCCAATATGGCTTGAGTGCACAATGCAAATGGACTTCTGTTGTACATTTTACACTTTTCAAGAAGGCCATTTTCTGTGAATAACATGCTTTTTTACAATATAACAAGAGAAAACTGAGTTATTCAGAGTGCCTGGAGAAATCTCTCTGTTCAAGTAAGGTCACTGTGAAGCCATTTCCCCCTTCTCACAGACAGAGGTAGTTTCTACTCTTTCTAGGCATGTAAAACACCTGGCATATACCTTTTTGCATTTCTCACATGTATGTGACTTACCTGTTCACCTCTTCTATGAGCTCTTCCTTTGAGGAGCTTTTGGACACCAGGTCTGATCCATAGTTGGTGCCGAACATACTGAATGAAAGAGAAGTTCTGACCATTTAAACATACGAACTTTGTAGTTCTTAAAGTATCTAGTATGTAGTTTTGTAAGTAGTAGGAGCCACATACCTTTCTTATAAGTTTATCTGCTTTCAGCAAACTCAGCTTCTCTTCCAGACTTTCCTTTTCTTGTTCATGGTACTAGAAATTCTCCCTTTCACTCCATGTTCTGGTCAGCAAGTTCTCTTTCTGTCTTCAAAATGTTACTCATAGCCACATCATCCTTTCCACTCTCATCATTGCATGCCAATTAAAAAAATATTGAGTACATACTATATATATTCTTAGCATTATATAAGTGCTGGAAATATATGACAGATCCAGTCCCTTGCTCTTGGAACACCAGTGCAGCTGAGACAGTCTGGCAGTCTGTCAAACTATGTTTATTGAGCACCTCTGTGCTGGGTGCTAGTGTAGCTCAGGTGTATTACAGTTTTTTTCCCCACAGGCTGCTCCACCTCCAGGGGAAGAGGCCTGGAAGACACAGCTACTGGATCTCCTCTGTTCTAAAGTATATTTCTTCTTCAGGCTTTAGTGTTTCTGAAATCCAGGTGAGTCTTAACCTGGGCATATATATTTAATATAGTTTTTTATTCCCCCTTAAGAGCTGTTAAATTGATGGTGCTTACAACTAGTAGAATCTTGCAATTGGGGAACTAGAGTATATGTCAACGGTAAGTGATAGGATAGAAGTATGTGTAGAATTGCACTGTCAATAGCTTCTAGCCACATGTGGTTACTTAAATTTAGACATCAAATTTATTAAGTGTAATATAAGGTTAAGTTAATTAAATAAAATGTAAAGATTCAGTTCCTCAGTTGCCCTAGCCACAATTTGACTAGTGGCTACTGTATTAGACTGATACAGAACATCCCCATCATGGCAGAATGTTCTGTTGGACCAGCACTGGTATAGAATGTGGTTCCACAGTTGTACCTGGAGAGTTGGGAAAAGCTTTAGTCAGTTACTTCCTGGCATTACTATGACATGTATTTCTTCCTTCAGGAAGGTCATGGAACTTATCCCCTTTCCTTCTCTGTGTTCCCTTGGTTTTACCCTCAGGGCCTCGGAGGGTCAGTAGTTGGTACCAGAAAAAAACAAGTAGAGGGTTAAAGAGTTTGGACAAAAGGTGGAAAAGCTCCTCATTTTCATAATGGGAAGTAGCTTAGGTGGCTACATTCAGTGTGTACCTAGTGTCCTTTTTTAAAGAGGGATTTTTTTAAACAGTCATTCTTTTTTTTCCCTCTCAGCTTTGAGATATAATTGACAAAATTATATATGTTTAAAGTGTACAATGTGATGATTTGGTATATGTACATATTGTGAAATGATTACCACAGTCAAGTTAATTAACACATCTGTCATCTCACATAGTTACTTTTTTTTTGTGAAGATGGTTAAGATCACTCTCAGCAAATTTCAAGTATACAAAACACTATTATTAACTATATAGTCACCATGTTGTTCATTAGATCCTCAGAACTTACAGTTTGTACCCATGGCCCAACATCTCATTTCCCTATCTCCTGTCAACCACTTTCTACTCCGTTTCTGTGAGTTTGTTTGTTTCTTATATTCCACATATAAGTGGTACCATAAGTGTTTGTCTTTTTCTGGCTTAGTTCACAAAGCATAATGCCCTCCATGTTCATCTGGGTTGTCACAAATGGCAGGATTTCTTTTTCTTTCTTTGTCTTTAAAAAAAGGAAAAGCTGAGTAGCATTCCATCACGTTTTCTTTACCCATTCACGCACACTTATTCTTGAGTTGTCCCCAGCTTGGCTATTGTTAAGTAATGCTGCAGTGAACATGGACCTTTTCAAGATATGGATTTTGCTTCCTTCAGAATATAAACCCAGAAGTAGGATTGCTGGATCATATAGTAGTTCTGTTTTTAATTTTTTGAGGCACTGAAGAGGGGTTTTTAAACAAGTTTCATCACATTGAAAATTTAAGAACTTTTTACCTTGGTTCTTAGCATTTACCAAGTGGGATTCAGCAGTGGGCCATTATGTTAGAATGCCATTATGTTTGGTGGGATGCACCACAGTGACATTTTCCAAGTTTCTGAATTTGGTTTTTATAGCACTATATGTAATTTCTTAGGGAAGATGTAATTGGACATGATGGAAATATTTATGTCAATCATTTGCTCCTATGGATTTACTTCTCATTGTTCCCTGAATCTTTTCTTGCTTCCATATTATTGCATGGTAACACATAACTTTTTTATTCTCTTGTTAATGGGTATTTAGGTTATGTCTTGGTTTTGGCTAGTAGAAGTACAACTACTACTATGTACTGGTCTTTTGGTGGGCAGATGCTTTCATTTCTCCTGGGTACACACCTAACAGAGAAATTTCTGAGCCATAGCCTATGTACATAATACCAAACAACTTTCTAAACTAGCTGTACCAATTTAAGTTGTGTTTTTTTTTATACCACCAGTTTGCATTTTTTATCTATGCATTTTTACTATTGGTATATTTCCCCCGAATTTTTAAGTCATTAATCACTATATGTCACAGACCTTTGGGGTTACTTCCAAATAAATCTGAAAATACTGCAGACCTATCATATCATTCAGATGGTCTTAAAAGAATACAAAAACTAAGCATTCTCTCCCTCCGTCTCTTAACCATCTTGGTTGATATTCAAGACACATGGTTCTTTGAAGAAACTGGTTCCTGCCTTTGTAAGTTGATTGTTTTGAGTGCTGTTGGGAACCAGTGTACTTTGCATGTCACTGATATCACTAACTACTGTTTGAAGGCGTACAGTGTGGTATGTAGCAGAATAAAGAACAATTGAAATGCTACTAGTTAAATTCAACAAGTTTCAAATTGAGTTCTTGGTGCTTGCAAGGTCCCGCCCTTGGTATCTCCATGTCTAAAGATCTGTAAGAATGAGTCTCTTAACCTCATAATCCTAGTCTAATAGATACAGGAGACAACATATACTGATAAAAGACCAAATATAGTGTCACTAATAGAATTACAAATAAAGTGCTATGGGCTTCCATATCACAGCATATCACATCTTATTTGGGTTGCACAGAGGGCCCTTGCGATCCTGTGGCTGACTCATAGCTGCTGCCCAGCATCACGAGAGATCACACGTACCACCATGTATTTCTAACCCAGGAAAGATGATAATTTGAAGTATGATGTCTACTGAGTGCAGCTCACTTTCACACCATTTTAAGGTGAAAAATGTTAAGCCCAACCATCCTAAATTGGGGACTATCTATAATTTATATCAAGTGGTTCTAAGAACTTGTTAGAAATGTAAATCAGTGTGGCCCAATGCAGACCTATGGAACCAGAAACTCTGGGAGTTGATCCCAGAAATCTAGGTTTTAACAAGCCCTCCAGGTGATTGTGATGTGCCAGATTTTGAGAGTCACTGGTCTATACTTGCTTGGTTAGAGAATAGTCACTTAATTGCCCTTGGGTTGGAGAGTAAAGTGTAAGGAAGGCAGTGATGAGAACAAAAAGGCAGGATTACCACAGGGACCTTGAATACTAGAGTGTTAGTATGTCGCCATTTCAGTTAAGCTGCATCCTGGGAGCTTATTTAGGAAGCATAAGCCGATAGACTTTTTATAGGGTGAATTAATACTAAATGATATTGGAAGCAGTTAGGTAAATTCGGGGAGTAGCCTTGGGAGTTGAAAGGAGAAGCTGCTGAGGAGCAATACAATACAATACAGTTGGGCTAAGTAGGCTTGACAGTCAGGTGGGTAAGTGTTCGGTGGAGGCAACTGCCTCAGAAGCTGAGGCTTTGAACCTAGTGTTGAGAGAGCATGGTGGTGCCTTCTGATGCGGTGCAGACAGAAGGTGGAGATGCCACATGGCACAGGAAGTGGGATATGAGGGAAGATCATTTTTTCTAATAGCTTCCATATTTATGCAAGCTCATTGGAAAAAATTCAGATGCTCTAGGTAGGGAAGGTGAAGATGAAAACAATATCCCCTCAAATCCACTTTTCCGGAGAGAAGCAGTACATTCTCTTGTTTAGTTATTTGAGTGTCCATTTGTTTATTTAAACTCAGCTTCGTACATGTGGAATTACGTTATTCTGAAACCCTTCCTTAGACAAATTGATCTTGAAAACCTGTCAGTGTTTCACATATGAAAAGAGTATACTCAGGTCAGTGTGTGTTTGGAAATTGATGGATGATATTTGGGCAACAGTGTTTATATAAGCAGCTGATTGGGAAAGATTGTAATTTCGTTTCTCAGGGTCATAAAACTTCCTGTTCCTATCAGTTGTTAGAGAAGAAATCTGGGACAAAACAATCTGAGGTGCCTGGTGTGCAATATTCGTCTGGGGAGAAGAACCCTAACTGTATTTAAGGTGAAAAAGATGAAACATCATGGCTTTTATTAGAACAAGATTATTCTAGTGTCTTTTAAGGACCAATTAATATTGGGTATAAAATGGTTTCATACATAGGTCACTACCAGGCTCCAAAGTTCTCCTTTAAATAGGCAGGTAGCTACCAGTGAATTTCTTAAGCAACAAGCAAAGATGTAGACTACAGTTTGCTGATTTCTTAGTTGTGTGAAACAATATTTTTTATTGACAGAATATACGATGTTCTGACTTAAGATATTATGACTGCTTTTCTATATCAGTAGAATAGTTAAATAATTTTAACAGTGGTGTGACTTCATTTACTTTATCAGTCCTATATTATGAGTCCTATATTGACGAATATTAGTTTTTTTTCTTGTTGTTTATTATGAACAGCACGGCAGCATACATCCTTTCCAGTATCCATCTTTGCCCATTTGTCTGATGGTCTCCTAAGCACAAATCTCTAGAAGTGGGATGGATTTTCGAATCAAATGGTACTCATATATTTAAAATATTGGTATCTGTTGCCAGATTACTCTCCAGAAACCTGTGTATTCCTACCTACTGTGAATGTGAGTTCACATTTTCCCATGCCTGTGAAAGAGCATTAGATATCTGTCAGTTACTTTAATCATTACCAGCCTGATAGGTTAAAAGTGATCTCTTTAAAAAAAAATTTAATTGATTACTAGTGCTATTGAACAGCTTTTCATAGATTTATTAGATACTTGTATTTCTTTTATGAAAAGTCTGTTCTTTTCCTATTTTCCCTTTGAGTGTTTATACTGATTTATAAGATCCCATACACAATTTTGGAACCAATTTCACTTCTGATGACCGTGAAGGATACAGCATGCAATTCCTGTTTGTGTGTATGTATGTGTTGTGTGTGCACCCGCACGTGTGTGTTTTCCACATAGCATCAAGCAACTCTCTGACATTAGCTGCGTGTCCTACAATTCAGTTTTATTCTGGCACTGTCTACCTGGAGACAGCATCAGATTCCACAGGTGAAGGGTTTAGTCCTACAAGAATGCTGCCCTCTCACCCCCCACTGCTCCAGATACCAGTCACAAGTCCAGGGCTTCTGACTGACAAGATACACATGGGCAGTTCCAGTGACCCCTTGGGTTCTATTAATTTGCTAGAGCTGCTCACAGAACTCAGAGAAATATTTTACTTATTAG